TACTCATAAATTTCTCAAAAGACATTTCCTTTTTTTTCTCTTCCTTTTTACTTTATTCTCTTTCTTTCTTTTACGTCTCCATTTTCCTCTCTATCAATTTCTGTTATTTTAGCTCTATTTCCTTTCCTTCTTTCTTTCTTTCTTCTAATTCCATTTTCCCATTCTCTCCTCCCTGGCATTCTTTTTATTTTAATTCTTTCTTCCTTATTCGTTACCGGTCAGAACAACCCAAGGCGGACGGAGCTGTGACATTTCAGACACGCTGAACGGAGACCTGAAACCAAATTTGATGAAAGAACGGACAAATTAGACGCCTGCGTCTCTACAGCGTCACGTCACGCCGAGGTCTCGCGGGACGAGAATTGGTTTGGCGGCTTAAGACATCTGAGGTCGGCCATGACAGGTCAATTGTGGGATAGATGAAAGCATAACGGTGTTAGTATATGAGAATAGCTGATCGTAAATATTTGTCGATATGAAATGTAGGGTGAAATCTATGCGTGTGCGCTCCCAGTGGAAACGTGGACTTGCACGCTACTGTACGCATGCAGGCATGTAACTCGATGAAAGAAGTGGCTATACAAATAGATTAGGAACTCACGCCTATGCATTGTTATTTGGTTTGTTTGTTTGTTTTTTTTTATTAATTTCAAGTCTGACACAAGATCTATTTCAGGTTGTAGTTCTAGATTGGCGTCGAGATCTCATCAATTTTTAGGTGAGCTGACTAGATTTAGCCGTAAGTTCTATACTAACAGTTTCTTTTCTCGCACTTGTGGAACTTCCTTCCAGCTTCATGCTTTCCGGCCAACTTTAATCTTCAAAAAGATAAATGCAATGTCAAACGCTATCTGCTGTGTTCTTGATTACTCTTTCCTCTTCCCGTTCATTATTAAGCTTTCTCTTTCTAATTCTTCCACGCCCTATAACCCTTTGTGTTCTATTGGCTTTACTGCCTTGCTTGGGGTGGTACCGATTTTTAAAAAAGTTGGGTACTATTTTTGCACAGGCCTGGTCCTAATTTTCCCGGCACCCCGAGTAAACTGAACTTCGGAAGTGTGGAATTATCCATCCTCACTTTGTTTGGCAGATTTAGCAAGATGCCGTTAAGTGGTATAGTTTCTTTCTCTTTTTCTCTTTCTTTCATTACAGCGTCTGGTTGTAACAACACCAGCACGGGACTATATCTTTCCCGGGTGACTGAACTTTCACACACAAACACACATACACACGTGCATCACACACACGCACACACAATTCCTAGCTAGATTTTAATGTCTTCTTTTCAGCTATTTTTGCATGTATACAAGTATATTTTATTTCTCGTTAATACTTTATTAGCCATATAGAAAAGATATGAAAATATCTCGGTCTTTCCTGTAACCAGTACAAATAATAGCAACCCGTTCTTGACATGTGTAAATTTTGTTTCCCGTCACTGATTTAAGTCCAACTCTAAGCATATCCACAACCTTACCTATAAAAGTCTAACATTATCCAGTGAGACGTATTCCTAAAACGCTAGGGACACATTGCTCCTTCTTTTATATGCCATGTCACTTCAGAACGTCAGCGTTCATAGCTCTCTACAACTTCCTAACTTTAGAATTCTCAGAAATGTTTTTTTTTTATCCTTCCCAATCCCTGTTCTGTCGTTCATTTACACAAGCTTGTTACGTAGGTGATCATGGCTCTCTACAACTTCCTATCTTTTGTAATTCTTAGTAATGTCTATCTTTTTGTTTTCTGTTCCAATCCCTGTTCTATCAGCACAAGCTTGTTAGGTAGGTGATCATGGCTCTCCACAACTTCCTATTCTTAGCAATGCTTCCAGTTCTTAGCAATGCTTATTTTTTTCGTTATCTCTTCCAAGCACTGTTCTGCTATCCATTTACACAAGATTGTTAGGTAGGTGATCATGGCTCTCCACAACTTCTTATCCTTTGTAGTTCTTAGTAAGATTTGTCTTTTTGTTATCTCTTCCAATCTTTGCCATACATTTCCAAAAGCCTGTCATGGCTCTCCACAACTTCCTATCCTTTGTAGTTCTTAGTAAAATCTGTCTTTTCGTTTTCTGTTCCAATTTCTGTTCTGCCATCCATTTACACAAACTTATTAGGTAGATAATCATGGCTCTCCACAATCTCTTATCCTTTGTAGTTCTTAGTACGTTTTGTGTTTTTGTTATCTCTTCCAGTCCCTGTTCTGCCATCCATTTACTCAAGGTTGTTAAGTCGGTGATCATGACTCTCCACAACTTCCTATCGTTTGTAGTTTACACAAGGTTACTGTTTTCCCCTCTTACTCTTGTCTTCAATGTATCAAAAGTCTTGTCCTCATGATGTGTTCTAAAAATTTTCAACGATCTCTAAGTGCCTTTTTATTTCCATTTTCTTTTAAATTTACCTGATAAAAGTTCTTTTGAATAGAATTAAAATATCTTTATTTATTAAGTTGAACCGATTTACTTCAACTATTTCTGTTCTATACGCAACACTGTATATCAAAATACGGTGAATTTATATCGATTGTAATGAAACTAGTAAACAGACAGTCGCCATTGAAAATCTACAGGGCTGCAATGTAAAATTCAATTTGCAATAAGCTATTTCCACACTCAAAATATATAACACTTCCAAATGAAATATATAGTTAATTTGGGGAAAGTTTAAAATCATAGAGCGTCTTTCAACATTTTTCGACAGCAGTCTAATTTTAGTAGAATACATATAATCCCCAATTTCTATAAATAATTTAATAATACAAATATAAATTATTATAATTCAATGGCATAAACCTTATTGAATCTGTTAAATTTTAGTTTGAAATTTAAGCTCGAAGGTTAATTTTAAACACAAATACTCGAAAAAAAAATCGCCATTTTGTTGTAGCATACATACGAACGATAATAGGTATGTCCGTATTCACATAAATACAGTAGTAAATACTGTATGTTGGTCTACAGTCGGAGATCCGTCTCCAGCTGTGCTGGTCAAACTCTCTACCTCCGGGCAGAGAGGATCTTCAGACGAGGTTATGTCGAAAGACAGAGTTTCGTCTCCTGAAACAGCTACCCGACACCGTTTTTTACGGGGTCTACGGGAAATTTTTGGCCGAGCGAGTAACACGTTTAAATTCATGATGTCTGGGAACTAGCGAAAGTAGCTCGTTGTAGCAGTTACCGTGAAAGTAATTATAGAAAAGACAGAGGGAGGCGACGACACGTCTGTGAGAGAGCGACTGTAGACGAGATGCCAGATCAGGGCCAATCACATTGCATATTCGTCTTGCATTTTGTGGAGGACCTTGAGACAAACAGAAGGGGCTCCAGACGATATATGGCAGCAATACTCCATGCAAGGGAGAATGGTTGATTTGTAGATTTGAAAGATCGACTCAAAAAGTGGGGATACAGCGCTCCCAACCTCCAGATGTTCGCCGGTCCCTTGCACATTGAAAAAAAAAAAAAAAGAAACTGCTGGTACGCCCCATTATAAATTTAGAGAAGCACTGACGTAATTCATTTGTTCACCCGAATTTATATCCAACCAACTTTATTTTTTGCACGGTGGGAAAGGGGTTGATTTAATTTTCTTATCTATTTACTTAACGGGTAGACAGAGCACATTCGTCTTGATTGTCAGCCCGTCTAGGAGAAGGATCGCTCTAATTTTAAAATCGGGATTGATGGCACTCCTTAGTTACCTTGATGACCACCCTTCAAGTTTCCAATGGCTTCATCTTTGTTTTTGGAAATCCAAAATTTCAGGATTACAGGACCGGATCTGTTCCAGAAAGTTTTTAATTTGCTCACGGAGTCGTCCTGATTCCAAAATGGTATGATATGTTGGGCTACGGACTCTTGGAGTGAAGTTGAAAAAGTGTGACACACTGACATTGGCATTTATTTATACAGAAGGTTTTTTTTTTTAGGTGAGCGCGAATTACTGTAATGGTCACTGAAATGCTAGTATACATATTATCAGATATCTAAATTGTTCATGTATTGTGTGATATCGAACTCACTTTTTATTTATACTGGCATGTCAATTATTAACCTTTTTTTATTATTCATTGCCGACCTTCAGCATACAACTCGGAAGAGATGCTCGAAGGAAAGTGGGGGAGGGCAATAAACATTAACGACCTCTCTATGATTTATTCACCCTTCTTTCTTTCTCCTGGTCATACTAGGTAAACACAGTAATTACTCTCTTCCTGTTATATCGGAAATACTTCCTTTTTAGACAGGGCAAACGAAGCTTTTCAATCCAGCTGGGGGGGATTGGGGGTGCTGTTCTCCCCATTTTTAAATTTTTTTTTATAGATAAGTCCTATTTCAGGATAATTTTGAGATTATCTGTACTAAACATGAGAACATGATGTCTTATTCATTCTAAGCCCTGTCATCATCGTCGTGACAAATCTTCCCTGTGTGCCAGGGACGGTTGCCATATTTGTGACATATAATTATATAATAACGATACGGAAAGATATTATTTGAACATTCGTAATATTATTCGTTTGTAACGTTGGAGTAATGGATAGCAGTTCGAAATCCAGTCGAATCTATTACATTCACTTACGTGCTAATACCCTTGAGAAAGGTATGAATCCTCTTCTACTCCCACCAGCTATGGGTAAATAGCAGGACAGACCGGGTTATGTAGACTTGGATAGCAACTGGTCTACCGCAGAAAGAAATGGCAACCTACTGCGGGGAAAATCTGCCTAGTCAGTCATGTATCGAAAGATACATGATCGCCTAAGCATGGCACATAACTGAACTGAACGCTGTGTTATAAATGAATATACGTGTGCTTAAATGAACAACACATGTTATAAGACTTATTGTCTGAAGTAATGAGGTCATCTACTCAATTGAGGTTAAATCAGATAAATGACACTATTGTCATTAGGTCAGCCACTTAATTTAAGTAGAGTTGAGTAAATAATAGTGTTGTCTATTTTAATCTACACACATGCAGATGGTGCATAGATCAGATGTTCCGTTGTTTAGGTAATTTGATCACAGAAGATATATAACAGAAGACTTGTGAGAAGAAGGGGATGGTCTTCGTCCGTACAGAAAGTGCCGCCAGGCTGGTGTACATTATCCGTCGGTTGGGGCACCTCGAGGCGGTGTAATGGTTAGCAAGCTTGTCTCGCTAGAACTATTACGACTGAGTAGTGAGTTCGATCCTCACTGGGTGCCCACCTACTTTCGGCCTTGTGCCACATCTAAGCTACGCTTGGAAAATGACTACATTATCCGTCGGTTGCCGCGTCGAGCCACAGTGTTTATATGCACCGCCGACCCCCACCGGAACTGCTGCTGGAAAAATAAAAACGGATTCTCCCCGCAAACACTAGCTGTTGTTATCTTCGGTGTGTCCAAGTGCGACTTTGAGATCTGTAGACGTATTGGGACGGCCAAAGACTCATTCCAAAAGCAAGGCAGTGTATTACGAGACAGGAAGATTTTTTTGGTAACAAAGAAAAGTGTACTGAGCTGCTACGTGACATCTGTCCTTCTTTACTGCAGCGAATGTTTGGCGGTCTCCTCAAAGAGACTCGAGGTTACGGAGATATGGTTCTACAGAAGGATGCTAAGGATATAATGGACCTAGCGCGTGAGCAACGATAAGGTTTTGGAGAGCATGCAAACAAGGAGGAACCTTATATTTAACATCAGGAAGAAGCAGCTGAAATTTCTGGGACACGTACTGAGAAAGAAGGGCTCGGAGAATCTGATACTCACAGGTCGAATAGAGGGAAAGAGAGACAAAGGAAAGCAACGCATGACATACCTGGTGAGTGGATGACAGAGCGTGACCTGGGGGAGGTGGCAGAGGAACGAAACTTAATGAGAGCTACAAGAGATAGGGGGAAGCGGAGAGCCATGATCGCCTACGTCCTGAATGGACACAGCCCATAAAAAATAGCAATGAAAAATATAACCATAATAAATATAAAACCAAAATGAAAATGTTTTAAAAAAAAACTAATCAGATATCCCAGTAGTCTCTCGTGGTGTGGAATATGACTACTGTTTTTTGTTTTCTGGAAAGTTTCCGCGTACCGGCAGCAGACGATGGCTCGTTTACCGGCACCAATACGCGTACCACATTTTGAGTAGCATTGAATTAAGGCATACCGCATTTGTCTTTTATTGGATTTCTCTAAAACAAAATGGTTGAGATGACGTAACAGTTTCAATTTCCAAAATCTAGCTTAGTTTATCACAACGCTACAAGTATGGAACCCCCAATGAGGATCGAGCTCACTACTCAGTAATAATGTTCAAGCAAACTAGTTCGCTTTCCGTTAACCCCAGATCGGGACGCCATTGTTATTTCCCCAGCATAGCTTAGTTTGGTACAAGGCCATAGACGTAAAGCACGCAGTAAACATCGAACTCACTAATCAGTAGTAAAAGTTAACTTTGCTAATTTGCTACCCATTACCACACATCGAAGCGCCTTTGTTATTTTTAACCGTTTAGGTGTTAAGTAATGGTTAACGAAGCTGATATGCTTGATTATTGCTACTAAATGTGACCTAAGATTAAGAAAAAACGTGGAAATTACTTGGGTGTATCAAAAGAATCTTTATTTTTTTCAGATCTTTACCCCAAAGCACCTAAAGATTATATACGACTCTAATATCTTATTATTATTATTTGTGTATGTTATGTTTCCTGCTTTGTATCTTGGAGAACCGGGTCCAAACTATGGTCCTTGGGCCCGATAGTAAAAGTATCACTTAATTGAAAGCACTTTTCTTAGTAAATGGCATGTTCTTAATAGGGCGATATTTTGGGCAACTTGTATGTTGATGTTACCCGGGACACTGTTAGTAAAATTGTCCCTTCCTTCTCTTGCGAAACCCAGATCTCCGATTACTATTGGTAGAGTTTCAGTCTTCATTCCCTACATCCTGTTAATCTCGATCTCCAGGTCCTTGTATTTGGACAAGTTCTCGATAATTTTCATAGCGGTGTTTCTCTCAGGTGGGACCGCTACTTCAATAAACATACACTTCCTGAATTTCTTGTCTTTTATGATAATATCAGGTCTGTTGGCTTTTATTTCCCTGTCAGTTTCAATTGGCATGTCCCAGAGGATAGTTACATCATTATTTTGGTTAAGTTTGTCTGATTGGTGATTATTATTATTATTATTAATATTAATATATAAGAAGGGTTACAGAAAAATTTTATGATTTTGCGAATCGTTAGAGGAAGCTTTTCTTTGGATTTTTTAAGGAGGTTTTTCAATATGCTGAGACATTTTTGCCGAGTATATTGGTTTCCCATATTTACGCTTCGTATTCTCTAGAAATGGTTATGGCGAGTTTAGATATTAAATAAAAGTATAGACACCAACATGCTCGGTACAAAATGCCTCAACATATTGAGAAACCACCTCAAATAAAAGCTTCTGCTACCCGTTCACAAAATTATAAAACTATGTAAACTAATCACTAACCACTGCTTCTTCTCTATCATAGATAAATAGATAGATAATGAACAGACATTGATAGCTAGATAGATTATGAACGAACAGATAGATAGATAGATAGATAGATAGATAGATAGATAGATAGAGATAGATAATGAACAGACATTGATAGCTAGATAGATTATGAACGAACAGATAGATAGATAGATAGATAGATAGATAGATAGATAGATAGATAATGAACAGACATTGATAGCTAGATAGATTATGAACGAACAGATAGATAGATAGATAGATAGATAGATAGATAGATAGATGAATAATAGATTGATAGATAATGAACGAACAGATGATAGATGATAGGGGATAGATAGATGAATAGATAGATAATGAATAGATTGATAGATAGATAGATATGATAAATAATAGAACGTAGATAGATAGCTAGATAGATAGATAGATAGATAATGAACAGACATAGATAGATAGATAGATCGATAATGAACAGACTGATAGAGAGAGGGAGAGATTGAATAGACATAGATAGATAGATAGATAGATAGATAGATAGATAGATAGATAGATAGATAGATAGATAGATTATGAACAGATAGATAGATAGATAACGAACATAGATAGATAGATAGATAGATAGATAAGATAGATAGATAGATAGATAGATAATGAACAGACATAGATAGATAGATAGATAGATATGTTGTTCAATAAAACAAAGTCAACCGAAAGGGTACTACTAAGAACTTACCCTACAACTATTTCTACATTTTTTCTCCTCCTCTTTTTCCTTTCTTCTTCTAATCTCCTCACCTCTTAACCCTCTCTATCTCTCCTTTTTGGTTGTAGTTTTAAAGTGGGGCCTTAGATATCTGACTATTGCAATGTATCAAAAACTTTAGCGGCCAATTCTGCTATCAGAACTACTATTATCTTATTCTGTGACTTCCTCTTCTTCCCATTCTTCTTCCTCTTCTTTACCCCTCTCTATTGTCTCTTAAGGTGTATCTCCCTATAGTTTTTTTTAAGGAAGTGCTGTACCATAGGCGGGGCCTGTTTTTGAATCGAATTGTCCATAACCATTTCTGGTTCCCACCAGTCGAGATGCACATAAGGCATCGAAAATAAGAATGTATCTTTGTAGTGGGTAATTGTTTTTATCCACATGTAAAAATATATATATATATATATATATATATATATATATATATATATATATATATATATATATGTATATTAAATAGAGTAGAAATAAACATAATGTTGCATAGTTTCCACTGTCCCTCTGTTTATGTCTCGCATCCGCTGATGAAGAACACAGGCGTGTTCGAAAATTCCGAACTTGGAACCTTAATCTCCGTACTTCATTTTTGTCAACTGGTTAATATTAATAAATATTTTTCGTATTTTTCATCGCTAACCTTTCGTTCGTTTGACTTTATTTTATTGACCAACTTATCTACTCTATTTTATAAACTATATGAAACACACGTGACCTCTTTTTCTAATTATATATATATATATATATATATATATATATATATATATATATGGTATTTAAAAGAAATCAATAAATCCCCCACAGTAAAATGGAAATTATTTAAAAAATGGCCCATGCCTCTGTGTCTACATGAAAAACTACATATTATTAAGTTTCTTAAAAATAATAATCTATTAAATCAGCGTAACGAACTGACTGTAATATGTAGGCACTGTACGATGTTCACGTTAGAAAATAGTTAATGGATTTTTCATAAAAAATCTATGAATTACAATTATATATATATCCATTATTTTATTATATATATAATGGTACATGTAATATTGATTTAATTCCTTGATTTTTTTATTTTAATATTGCCATGTATTAAGGCCTATTAAATAAAATAAGTATTGTATTTTACGTCCAAAATTATATAAAAATCATTTCATCATACCAGAGGCCCCTTTAAGATAGTTCTAAAATATATAAAAATAATTTTTTTGAAAAAACAAAATTTGACATATTATTACAGATATACACATCTCTCAGATTACTTCTTTGTAACTTAAATGTATATTCTTAACGGGAAGTATGAGGAGATGTCTTAATATGACAGTTCCCCGAGACGTGTATGAATACAACACACCCCGCAACATCTAACCTATATTTTAAACTTTTCTGCGTTAAATTTCACCTGTCTTTCGATTAGTCAAAAAAGACATAATCATGTTTTTTAAATGGTCCCCCACCTCCTACTTAACTCTTTAATAAACAAACGTATTGTCTTCTGTTTTCAAAAGTAAATCATTTTCATCAAGCATTGCCTGATAACGGGATAAAATAAATGTTAAATCCCGAAACAGAAATTTCTGTGTCGCAAAAGTAAAATATATTTAAATAAAAAATATCATATATATATATATATATATATATATATATATATATATATATATATATATATATATAATATATATATAATATTAGTGGTCAATATATATATATATATATATATATATATACATAATTATTCACACAAAACTAATGCAAGGTTAATGATTTAAAAAGAGACATCCATCATCGCAAACAATTCAAATAGTATAAAAAAGGATCAATTATTCATAACGGATCCTTGTTTATATAAATTTCTGCCGTATTATTTGTTAATTTTTTATGATGATGGATTCGTCTGTTCATAGTAAAAAACAACTAAACCTTGCATTAGTTTTGTGTGAATAATTCATGTATTTGTAAATTGATTGCATTAATTTATCTGACGTTTATCGTAATATATATATATATATATATATATATATATATATATATATATACATAAGTACCAAAGAGGATAGAATCCAGGTAGAACTCAATGTCTAGGACAGAGTAAGAATATAATATAAAAGGCTCAAACCCTAATATTCCATGGTTATAATTTATTACATTGGAATCGTAATCACGATCTTATTCATTAGACCTACAAATTCAAAAAGAAACCAGATGATTCGGCTCGTGATTACGATTCCAATGTAATAAATTATAACCATGGAATATTAGGGCTTGAGCCTTTATATATATATATATATATATGTGTGTGTGTGTGTGTGTGTGAATTACAATTAATGAGATCCAAACAATTTACCTCATGCAGATGATTATTTCCCATCATCTGTATGAGCTAAATTGTTTGGATCTCATTAATTGTTATTCACTTCTATGCTCTATAATAAAAATTATATTGAGCTCTCTTTTGTGGATCAGTTTTAATATTTTATATTAATAGGATCTACTTCGATTTCTTACGCACAGATTTTTTTTTACATATATATATATATATATATATATATATATATAAGACATTTTTTATGTTTATACGTTCTTTTTATAGATACAAATATTTAAATATAAAAAGAATGTATAAACATAAAAAATATTTAAATATAAAAAGAACGTATAAACGTAAAAAATGTCTTAAATAATTGTCGGACTGTCTATTTCATAATGTATATATATATATATATAATGTGCTTGTGTCGGTTAGTATTTTGTGAATGTGTGTGAGACAATATGGATCTTTTTTGTAGTATCTGTATATTGGTCTTTATAAATTCCAATATCATCTTCAATTCTATGACCACCGACCTCCGCCATGACTTCCCCATAACCAAATAACAAGAAACGGTGTAAAGAGGGATGTTGTATTTATACCCACTCTTTAATTCACTCCTTCTCTCCCCATCCCTCACTCTTTCTATCTCCCCCCCCCGCCACACGTACACGCACACACTATCTCCATCCATGCCTATGTCCATGTCTTCTTTTCACTTCTTCCCGAAGTCCTTGTATCTTCATCGAAAGATAAAAAAGAAATTGAGGAATGGACGAACCAGTCCTCAAACGAACAGCAGTCAATTAAACGCTATCAAAATATAGAAAGAGAATTTCTCGCTCTCCTTAGTGGGCCATCAACCATGAAGATATGGCCGCTGCTTCCCGCTTTCTTCGCGTCGACGCACGCTAATCTACATTCAGCCATAATAACCTCGTCGATTTGCGCCGACGTTCGATACCTCGCGGGTATCGCAAGTTATAGAAATACCACAACGAATTCGAAGACGAGGAACTCGAATACGTCGACTGTATTCTCTCCAGAGGAGTAAGAACTTCTTCTTTATGTGCCACTCAGGACGTAAGCGTTCATGATTCTCCACAACTTCCTACCCCATTTAGCTCTTAATAAATTGCGTCTTTCTGTTGTTTCTCCTAAACCCTTTGTTGTTCACCTCGAGGTTCTTGACAAAAATTCAAAGAAGGATCTGCAATTTATAGTTTTATGTTAAGTGAAATGCAAATTCGCACATTTTTACTTAGAAGTTTCCCATCGTTAATTTCCCATAATTCATAGTTCACTGTATTAAATAGACTCAATAAAGTCAAAACAATCATCACATTTCGTTTGGTTTGTTTTACAGCATATCAACCTCAAATTATTATTTAATACCGGCAAGATTTTTATGGCTGGTAATAATTTTTTTTTTTTCAAAAATGTATAGCTGATAATAATAAGCTCCTTTTTTCATTAACATAAAAGGTAAATAAGAAAAATTTCAAGCTTCATAATTATTTACTGGGTATGAATCGAGATCCCATTGGATTAAAACCTAAGTTTAATGTTCATAATTAATAAAAATATTTAAGAATTTAAATCTTAATTTTAATGCTAGATCTGAGTGAGGCATTGTTCTTTAGTGCTAACGAATGGAATGGTGGGAAGCAGAGATTAAAGAAATTTCCGGTCAGCAAGGGTTACAGAGAAATGTTAGAAGACTGGGTTCACGGATAAGAGGATTAAGGGGACTGAACTCATTTTATGTACATATATAATTTTATGTTAACTGAAATGCAAATTTTCACATTTTTACTTAGAAGTTTCCCATCGTTCATTTCCCATAATTCATAGTTCACTGTATTAAATAGGATCAATAGAGTCAAAACAATCATCAATCAAGATTTTGAAAACATTTTGCATATATATATGCGTTTTGTAAAAAAAATGTATGTGTAAATTTTGTTCATGTCTTCAGGATCTCAAGCATCTGAACTTTATCATATGTGGCTCTTACATTAAGCAAGTTTGGCCACCCCTGGTATATATATATATATATATATATATATATATATATATATATATATACGTTTCACATACGACTTGCTTACAAGCAGAATTGTTCATAACCATTTTTGGTTCTCACCAGTCGAGGTGCAATTGAAATGCCCCGAAACGAAGTTGCATCTTTGTGGTGAGTAAACTGTTTTTTCTATATGATATAATAATAATAATAATAATAATAATAATAATAATATTGTATATATGAAAAGCAACCTTTCTTTTAAACATCTTTCGTTAAATATGGCCGACAAGGAAAATTTTATTATTTTTCTTGATTTAGATTTTCCAACGTTCTTGTGTTTTTCCATTTGATGGGATAGGAAAGTTTTTTTGGTTTGGTTTGGTTTGGTTTGGTTTGGTTTGTTTTACGACATATCAGCCTCAATGAGTCATTTAATGCCGACAAAATTTTTATTACTGATAATATTTTGTTTTGTCAAAAATCTATTTCTGCTAATAATTTTTTCCTTCAAAACTGTATTGCTGGTAATATTTTTTTCAAAAAATGTATTGCTGGTAATGTTTTTTTTTTT